TGTCCTCCCAGTAAATTCCCTTTTCCTTAAGCCACAGCTACACACTGACAGCACAATTACTGAACAAAAAGGACAGAGCTAGGGGTGGGGAAGGGTGGAGAAGAAAAGCCATCCTCTTCCCAAACAATCAGGTTCCAATGTCAATCTCCACTAGCTTGTGACAAATCCCTGGATTCAGCCGCCAGCAGGCGGTTTGTGCGAAATGCATGTGTGTTGCTGTGTGTTAAGTGGAGCTGCTACAGAAACCAGCTCCAGCACCACCTTGCTAGAATTGGCATTGATTCAGAAAGAAATCCCTCCAATTTCTGCCTCAGCAGTCTGTCACTAAAAGTCTGATCAAAATAAGAGTAGGCACTTCTGATGTTATACTGACGTACAGATTTTCTTGGTTCTGCTTCAATCCAAGTTAACTTTAATGATATAATTAAAGAGATGCCTAGAAATGTGAGCTGGACACCTTCATTCTTCTCAGTTTCCACATAAGCTCCACACAAATGATGGCAGAGGAACAAACAGGCACATATGCTTAAGGGCAAGAGAGGAGGGTGGTGGAGGACCAGCACTGACTCATCGGTCTGCAGAAAGCTGACCCCGACCCCGCGGGAGAAGGCGGCAGCAGAGGTGGCTGATTCATGCTGCAGAGCCCTGGGAAGCCTGGAGGATTGGCGATTCCAGGCACTAGTGATGATGAGAACGTGGGGAGATTCTGGAGAAGGAACTAGATGGAGTCTGTGTTGCAGCAGTCACACCCCTTCCTCAGCACACTCACCGGGCAGACGCCCTTCCCCAGGGCTCTGGAGAGGTCAGCCTGGGAAGTTCTGGATTTGAGAACAACAGGCACAGTGGAGGTGTGGGTGAGGTACTTACTGTACTGAAATGATGGGGTACTAAATGTACCTACTACCGGGAAGTATCTGACACGCTGAAAACTTTATGTAGCCTGTAAATAATCAACTGCCATCTAGGTTCTGGAATGTTTAATACGCAGGTGTCTGTTTTAATTTAGTTTTCCTTAGCTGTCACTCACAGAGGCAGCTTCGGGGTCTCCTGGAAGTGAGACCAGCCTTGTTCTTGCTAATCTGCTGCTCTGGAAACTGGATGAATCGAGACTGTGACCCCAGCCCAGGGGACCCCTGCTGGCCTGGCCCAGCAACCCAGTCTGGTGCACCTGCAGGGATTGGCACTGGCCACTGATTGTGGTTTTAATCAACTAGTTCTACAACTGCAATAAATTTAATACTTTCAGCACACACTGAACAAATCAGAGTACTGTGGAAAGGAGTTCAGTTTCTTTTATAAGTCATAATTTCTAAATGTTGACAGGGGATTAGATAATAGTCATCATATCAATGTATAGTTCCTGATTTTATCAATTGTGTTGCAGTTATGAGATTGTCCTTGACACACTGAAGTATTTAGGGGTAAAAGGTATCGTCTGCAACTTAAATAGTTGAGGAAAAAAAAGCGTGTGTGTGTGTGCGTTGGTGAAGGGCACATGGGGATCGTCATGGTACATGTATTTATCCTATCATTTCATATTTCCAAGCTCAGAGAAGTGCTCCGTTCAAGCTACGCTCAGTGCTGTCAGCAAAGAGGTAGTGCCCAGCTCCAGACTCAGCTGAACCTGCAGTGAGAAGGCAGGGGATCAACTACTCCATAAATTCTGACAGAGCTTCTTGCAAGTAGTTTTAAGTAGCAGCTTCTACAGAACAGTGTGGCAGAATCTGCTAGTTGTCACACTGATACTCATTTTTCCCTTCCTACTTCTAGGTAGGAAGAAGGTTTGCTCACCATAAAGGCAATACCAGGTTCCTCTGTATCTCACTGTGCCTTGTTGCTAAATTCTGACCAAAGAGACTGAAAAGAAAAGTGATATGGCAACTGGATCTGATGCCTTCTTAAAAGATACCATGCACAGGGCATCTTACCCTGTTTCTTTGTCACTTCTACCATATTGTCACCTGCAACAGGAACGTGAGGCCTGGATCTCTAGCGGTAACTGGCAACAAAGGGAGGATCCGTGTCCCAGGAATGCTGGAAGAGAGACAGAAGGACCTCATTAAAAGCTGCTGGGCCACCCTACAATGTCTACCTGGTAGACTGTTTTATACAAGAGAAAAATTAACTTCTGTTTTATGTAAGTCTCCATTACTTATAATTTTTATCATTTTATTATTATTAAGGGGCTAAGGCAGTGATTTTAAACCGAAGTACATCACACTGGTGTGCCATGAGAGGATCTCAGGAGGGCTGTGAAGATTTTTAAAGATCATTGCTTAAATTATTTTCCAAAGAAGTTCAAAGCACAGTAAGTATATTCTTTTTTTTTTTTAACTCTTTTTTTTTAATCAACATAATTTAAATGTGCTGTGGAAGTTTAACCATCAATTCAAGTGTGCTGTGAGATAAAAATGGTTGACAAGCACTGAGTAAGGGCCGACTTCAACTCATTATTCCCATATATTTGGGGGAGATGTTTTACTCCACGAAGATGGATCCCATCAGTGTATCTCCCGAGGGCCCAGCAGAGTCTTCAGATTTTTCCAGTTGATGAATATTTTTATAACAAAGATTCTTTTTACCCAAACAACTTCAAAATGTTTCCTACAACAACATTAGAAGTCCATTCCAGTTTGTTGCTGTCCTGATCATTACGACTTGCTTCAAAGAGCGCACTAAGTACGCTTCTTTTTCTATAAACCTTTTTTTTTTTTTTTTGAGACAGAGCCTCAAGCTGTCCCCCTGAGTAGAGTGCCATGGCATTACAGCTCACAGCAACCTCCAACTCCTGGGCTCAAGTGAGTCTCCTGCCTCTGCCTCCCAAGTAGCTGGGACCACAGGCGCCCGCCACAACGCCCGGCTATTTTTTGGTTGCAGCCGTCATTGTTGTTTGGTGGGTCCGGGCTGGGGATTCAAACCCGCCACCTTAGGTGTACGTGGCTGGCGCCTTAGCTGGTTGAGCTATAGGCGCCGAGCCTCTATAAACCTTTGGTCAAAAACAACACGAGTCCTGTATGATCTTCCAGCTTATTAAAGTTATAAAGAGAATTTTAATCATGCTGTTTGCTTGTGCAGGATTCTTCGTTAATGCCTCACAGAGTAAGGTGCCTCCAGCAGCACCAGGGGAGCTGTGCAACAGTCACAGCTCCGGAATCTCACAGTTTAAAACAGTCACCTACCCATGGGGTGGTGGTCAGGAACATGCAAAACCTCCCCATGGCATGTGACTGTTTAAAACAACTAACCTTTACTTCAGGTAAGCAGGGGGCTCTGTTCTGTATCTTCCTTATTCGGGCTGATGGAATCTCCTCCACACAGACAAGGAGGAAGGGAACGTGACAAACTGGCCATTGGTTCTGCAGGCTTCCCGCTGGAGGAAGACATGTCACTTCACATTTCACTGCCTACAGCCGTGCGGCACATCTCACAGGGCAACCCTGGTGTGCACCCAGAGTTACTGGGGAACATGAACTACCAGATACAGCATTTCACAATGAATCCTCAGCTCCTATCTCCTCATCTCAGTCTTCTCCTGAATTTGCTTTCAGTAATGTTTAAAGATGAGAAAGATTTGGTTGGAAAATAGAATGAGCTGGCCATACATGTATTTATTATGATTATGGAAATTAAATTTTCCCAAGGAGATGGAGGATCAGATCTAACTCTCTTAATCGGTCAACACTGCCTTGTGACTACCTGATGGTAAGTCCAAATCAACATGACTTTTTGAAGTCTTGTCAAGGTAGCCTCAGATCAATGGTTTGAGAAGTGCACGGGACACCTGGGAAAGCTCAGGATGCAGGGAAGGGCTCTCAAAATCCTTCCTTGTCCAAAGACATCGGTTTGAAGCTGAATTTTCCCCATGTACTTCGACCCAGACAACATGTCATAACAGACCGAATGCAGAGCAGACATGAGAATCCATTTGTCTTACATTAGGCCAGAACTCACAGAGATTCAAAAAAAAAGATAAGTTTTGAAAAATACAGTTATTTAAAAAATAAATATAAATTTATGTTAATATGCAATAAGTATAAATGTCATTTAAAAATCAGTGTATAGGGCAGCACCTGTGACTCAGTGAGTAGGGTGCCAGCCCCATATACAGAGGGTGGCGGGTTCAAACCCAGCCCAGCCAAATTGCAACAAAAAAATAGCCTAGCATTGCGGCAGGCACCTGTAGTCCCAGCTACTTGGGAGGCTGAGGCAAGAGAATCGCCTAAGCCCAAGAGCTGGAGGTTGCTGTGAGCTGTGACATCTCTAAAAAAAAAAAAAAAAAAAAAAATTAGTATATATATATATATATATATCTCTAATAAAATTTTCTCAGTTTTTTTTTTTTTTTTGAGACAGAGTATCACTCTGTTCTCCAGGCTCAAATGCCATGACCTCAGCCCAGATCACAACAACCACAAACTCCTGGGCTCAAGTGATCCTCCTGCCTCACCCTCCAGAGTAGGTGGGCTCAATTTTAATTTTTAATACAATGAATATTGACAGACATAATCCACATAAACCAGAGGTCTTTGAGATCCTCAATTTTTGTTTTACTTTGTTGTTTTGAAATATTTACCTTCAATAATTTTAATAGTTTAAGTTTCCTAAGACCAAAATGTTTGAGACAGCTGTCTTAGACAAAACCTGGCTTGGTGAATTTCAGCTTAATGTTTGGAAACAGCCACTGAACGGCATTTTCTCTGTGCTGTTTTGAGGATTAACGAGATGATGGTAACAACTGGCATTTATGCGCATGAAGAGTGGGCTGTGCTCACTCACCTTGCTGTGAAGGGCAGTTTGACCTTCAGACACTGAACCCCAGATCAACTGTACATCTGGATTATAAGAGGTGTGTTCCCTTAGTCTACTGATAACACCTGAGAATAGAACCAGTCATTGAATATGAGTACATACAGTGGAAATAACTAAAACCCACCTAACAGAAGCTAACATTAGAATAAGGAATTTATGTATATATATATATATATTTTTTTTTTAATGGGACAGAGGCCTTTTATTGGTCTGATCAGTGTGCATAGTGGTAAGTTCACGGAGAGCTCTCTCTCTCTATCCTGGCTCCCACCTTCCCTCCTAAGAGTTTGTGACTCATCCCGGGAGAGAAGAGTGTCTAGACAGGGTGGCAGGCAGAGCCAGGGTAAAAATTATGGCGTTAGGATCTGAAAGGGGTTCAGGATGATGTAGAAAATGTGAGGTTGCTAGGCCATCCAGATAAAATGTCCATCAGAGCAGGGGTCAGGAGGAAAAGCTTCCTCTGGAGGCTCCCTACTGGGCCCTTCGTGCCATCAGCATCTCCCGGATGTTGTCCTCAGCTTCCTTAACGCTTCGCTCCAGGTAGGATTTTTTCTGCTCTAGTTCTTTAATTTTTTCTTCTGCTATTCTCTGTTTCTCTAACAGCTGATTGTGAATTACCTCCTTGGATTAAAGAATAAACATTCTTCCTACGCCTTCATATATGTTAGTTTCATCTACCAAAGTCATAATCTGTGTATCTGTAAGATGCGCATGCTTTTTCGTTCTGTTCAGCTGTTCGATCTGTATGTCTGCAAGCTTCACCTTCTGTTGAGTATCAATAACCTTAGCTTGAAGCTCTGTGAAGGCCTTTTTCAACTCCAAATCCATGGGGGCCGCCATCTTGATGCACCCTATGCCAGGAATTTATATTCTTATGTAACAAGAAGTCCAGAGGTTGGATATTGCCACAGGCGGCTATTCCATAGGTGGCTCGACAGCATCAAAATTATTTCCAGGATTTTTACATCCTTCCACTCTGCTAGTTTCAGCATCTTGGCACGCGTAAACCAGCTCCCGTCAAAAGCTCCACAGCAAACATGAGATCCACACTTGGAACCCTGGCCAGGGTTTCCCCAGACGCACCTCGCCTTGAGCGTGGACTCCTCCTCTTGCATCATTGGTCAGAACTAGATCACATGACTGCTCAAGCCAATCACTGATGAGGGGGATGAGGTCATCATGGTTGGCTCCAACCAATCATGACTTTGTGGTTAAGGGAGGACCCTGCTTTTCTGGAAGCGCTTGATTTCTTGATTTGTATAAAATTGGGGTTCTTTTAGCAAGAATGAAGGTGGAAGTGGGGAATAGCTATAGAGTACGCACCCAGTAAGGTCTTACATAATCACACCAGGAATGTCTTATCGGTGTAGACTGTGAGATTATCACGGGCTAATAATAGCAATAATTCAGAGGAGTCTGAAGAAGACCGACAGTACTTGCCTGTTTTCCTCTATCAGTTCATCAGGCGTCGTGGAGAGTTTAGTAAACGCCTAACAGAAGTAAGCATTCGTAGTCTCCTCTTCCCGAATCTTCGTTGATAGTTCATTACTAGTTTATAGTTTCCTATCACTCTCCATATATAATTCATCAATAATAACAAAAAGTCAGTTCCACTCAATCTCATACCACTACATTTTTGTTTCCTGACTTAAATTATCATGCACTTGCTTTGCTAACTTATAAAAGTAAGCAAAATAAATAAATAAAAACCTACCTTTTAAACTTGCAGTTAAGATTTGGCTGTCCCATTAAACTGGGAGACATTTACATATTTAGAAGAATATAAATTTCATTTTCTACCCTGGAAGTGAGAACAATGTAACCTTAATCTTTTTTTTTTCCCCCCTCAGTAGAGTACTGTGGCATCACAGCTCACAGCAACCTCCAACTCCTGGGCTTAGGCGATCCTCTTACTCCAGCCTCCCAAGTAGCTGGGACTACAGGGGCGCCTGCCACAACATGCGGCTATTTTCTGTTGCAGTTTGGCTGGATCCGGGTTCCAACCCACCACCCTCGGCATATGGGGCTGGCGCCCTACTCACTGAGTCACAGGTGCCGCCCCTGTAACCTTAATATTGTACCCTCATATTAATTTGAATAAAGTTATTTTTTTAAAAAATTCATTTTATAATCCAAGTAATTCTCTAAGTAATTAATAAAAGTCAGAAACAAATACAGACATATATTATCCAATATGGCCTTCTTTCTCTGGAACAACCCACACACCAGCTGTCTGGCCTCCTATTAATAGTATGAGCCAGCCAGGCCAGGTAGATGCTTTCTGCTGTGATGCTGCTATGGTAGGAATAACTTATAGATAATTTAGGAACCAGTCCTCTGTCATTTTCCCTTTAGGTCTCAGCTTAAATGTGACCTCTTCAGAGGCCTTTCCTGACCACCCTGTTAGAAAGATTCTTCCCAACTGTGCTCTACTAAATCAGTCTTCTAATTCTGACTGTAGAACTCTTGCAGATCTGTAATTATGTCCTTCCTGTATTTATCTTCTGTCTCCCATCTAGAATGTAAGCACTGTGAGTGTTGGAAAATGCTCTGGTCTTATTCTATGCTGTATGCTCAAAGCTTCATCCGAGTCTTGGCATGGCTGATCAATAAATATTTGGTAGTTGAATCTGGTCTTTTTTTCCTGAATGACCTGTCATTGAAATACTTTATATTATATTCTGAAATAAAAGTTTAAAATAAACCTCGGTATTTGTCGTATGTTGTCCAATGATGTTTATTAGTACAGTAACAGTAAATTCATAATGTTAGTGAACATTCAACTTAAAATGTCAGATGTAAACATGATAAGATATAGTTTATAATGGCACAGACAAATTGATTCATGTCAGATAAATACTTTACTACTGTATTTTTATTTTACAGAAATTATGAAGTATGAGAAATTAATGTATTTAGGGTTAATGCAGAAGTTTAAAAAACATACAGAGCTAAAACCATCAAAACCCACAACAGCTTATTTGTTCAAAACTGAACTCTTGCAAATATTTTGTGTCTGCAATATGCTTTGAATTAGAACCCTTTTGTGAACTCTTATTGTGGTTTTTTAAATATAACATCCAGTTGTAATTACGATACAGAGTATGGAATATTTCAGGCCCTTAAATATTTTATTAAATACTTAACTACACTAAATACTTTATTGCCATTATTAACCAAGTAAGAAAGTTACATGAAGAGTGCATTGAAATCTAGCTCTTTTCGGTGGAGATATTCCCATGTCTGAGTGTGATTAGCACAGACCTGCTAAATCTCTCTCGGAGCCATCTGTGAGCACCTTCTGGGTTTAAAACAACACGGCTGCCTCTGCTTAGTGCTAAGTCAGTTTTTGCCACAACTGTTATCTTTATCTTAAACCTGGGAAGATTCTCAAATGCCTGAAGTTTGGAGATGGCACCTCTCACTCAACATCTGATCTTTAAGCTGAAAGATTTCTATTAAATCAACTGTCTCAATTGAGATTTTATTGGCATAAAATGTTGACCACAAAAATTCCAATCCAGCTGCAGGAAAAAAAAACTAGCGTATTTTCAGCTTACTAGTGAGTTTAGAACATACTTACATGCTCCTAACCATCCAAAATGAAATCCCTAAGTCTCTGAATGTCCTTCCTGCCTGGTCCAGCCCAGAACTATGATGCAGATGTCCCTTCACAGTGGCTTCAGGTGACAGCTGGGTTTTGGCAAGTGAGTGGATGGTGGCTTTCCTGACCTGATGGTGAATGAGAATGCTTCCTGGTTCAGAGGCTTAGGTCCTTACTGCAAATCTAGTGTGATCTTTTCTAAAGGACTTGGTCTTATCACCAAGAGCCACAGCATCCAAGTGTGGCCTCTGAAAGACAGCTCAGCAGCAGAACTACCCAGTGCTGCCAGAGATGCTTTAAGACAGCTTCTAAGTTACAGAAGACATTGTATTTCACTTTCTCTACCAAAGATGCATGGTTTTTTGCTTATTAATTGAGACAGAATCTCACTCTATTGCCTAGGCTGGAGTGCTATGGCCTCAGCCTAGCTCACAGCAACCTCAAACTCCTGTGCTCAAGCGATCCTCCTGCCTCAGCCTCCCCAGTAGCTAGGACTTCACTTTTCTACTTTCAGTTGAGACAGGGATCAGGCTGGTGTTGAACTCCTGACCTCAAGGGATACTCATACTTTGACCCCTCCAGAATGCTGGGATCATAGGTGGAAGGCACAGCACCAAATCAGATATATGTTTGGTTTGTTTTCTTTTTGGCAGTTTTGGTTTGGGCCGGGGTTGACCCCCCCCCCCCATATACGAGGCTGGTGCCCTATTCCTCAAGCCACAGGTGCCACCCAGATATATGTTTTTGAAATCTCCAAATCAGAAAGATTTAACAGGTGGAGTGCGGTGGCTCATGCCTATAATCCTAGCACTCTGAGAGGCTGAGGCAAGTGGATTGCTTAAGTTCAGGAGTTCAAGACCAGTCTGAGCAAGACCAAGAGCCTATCTTTACTAAAAATAGAAAAATTAGCCGGGCATTGTGGCACGTGCCTGCAGTCCCAGCTGTTTAGGAAGCTAAGGCAGGAGGATCACTTGAGCTCAATGGTTTGAGGTTGCTGTAAGCTATGAAGATTCCACGGCCCTGTACCCAGGGCAACAGAGTGAGACTCTGTCTCAAAACAAACAAACAACAACAAACCCCAGAAAGATTTAATGTAGGCTTGCTTTTAACTCTCTTAACTGTGTTTAGTTCTTCAAGCCCTAATTGAATATGGTAAGAATCAGTCCTTTAATGCCATATCTAAGGTTTTTATATTGAACTATACTTTGCACACCATAAAATTTACTTGACTGTAGAAGTTAATGACAGTTTACACAATCGTGCAGTCATCACCACAATCTAATTTTAGAACATTTCCATCACCCCAATAAGATCCTCATGCATGTTATGTTTATTTAGCATTTTGTATTTAATGTTTCACAACTTGTCTTCATTAAAACATAATTACATAATTGATATAGAACACAAAAACATTAATACGTTCGACTGTGTGGGCATTCAGACACAAACCAGTAATGTGCCTGGAAAGGAGAACATTTTGCATGTGAGACTTTGTTTCAAAAAGGAGTCCAGACAATTAGGCAGGTGTTACAGTTTTCCTTAGATACTATTCATAAAATCATGAAAAGTGGGGAATTGTGTAAACAAAGGCTAACCCTGTTCTTGCTACAAGTAAAACTGGCATCATACAGGTGGCGAGCACCGCATGAGCAGCTGTGAGTCAATAATCCCTCTCCTTCCTCACCCTGCAGTTTTCCACCTCAGTTTCTGAGTGAGGACTAAGTCATATCCCAGCTGAGGTCATCAACAAAGGCCAGGTAATTCCAGGGCATATTCAAAATGGGAGCCTCATCCAAGCTCCAGTGCTTCTTTCTACCAGTTACTGTTCTCCAGGTAACATAGAAGTTCGCGTCCAGTTTTTAACTCCTCCTTAGGGTCCAGCGCCTCGCAACCTCTCTCTCCAGGATGTGCCTGCTTTCTTACATTCTACAGTATGCAAAGATTCAGAGATTTAAAACCAAGCACATTGGGCACAAAGGTACGGAGTAAAAGGTGAATTTATAATACTTTGACTTAGCATAATATGAAGCTTGGTGCCTGAGCTGTTAGAATGTCGCTTCGTGAAAATAGGGCAGTTTGTCCATTTTGTTCCCTGACATATCCCAAGATCTTGGAATAGTTCCTGGCACGTAGTTGGTGTTCAGTAAATACTCTTTGAATAAATATGTTTTAAAAAAATTTTAGTCCTAATAGATTATTTAGGTTGGTCCAGCCCATTGGTATATTATGAAAAGTGTGTTGTTATGTTATATAAAGTATGTATTTTAAATGCACTAGTGGAAATCAGCATAACATTCTAAAATAAATCTAAACTATAGCATGAACAAGTTATACCTCAGGTTGTATTATTTTATAGTTCTTTATTTCCTTACATTTTCATATTCCATACAGTTTACTTTATAGGTGTGTGTTATCTGTTCTAAAATAATGACTATGACATCCCTGAAAATTGTACTGGTTGTTCTCTTCTCCTGGCACAGCTTCATGTTTCAACTAAGAAATCCCATCTTTGACAGAAATGATCAACTGTGCAAAAAAACAAAAACAAAAAGAAAAATAGCATTTTAGTGTTGACTACACTGGAAATTGGCCTCAAGATCTGAACAAACAGATGGTATAAATGGAATAAGTGTATAAATGATAGGTTTATGATCTATTTCCAATGATCCATATTTCTATTTCTCTGTTTATCTGAATTTGATTAAGTATAAATATTGCCATACTTTTTTGAGTTGGTTCACCCCTTTTTCCTAATAGTGATGCATTTTTTCACAATTTCAAGTCAACTGATATTTCCTCATCATCACACTCTATCCCTCCTTTCCCACCCAGATCCAGTTACTTTTTTTTTTTTTTTTTGGCCAGGGCTGGGTTTGAACCCACCACCTCTGGCATATGGGGCTGGCACCCTACTCCTTGAGCCACAGGTGCCACCTATCCAGTTACCTTTTTAAAGCCTCTTTCTTGGGAGTTCCCAGACTGAGATTACTGTCATCACTGAATTACACACTCCAACCTCATGAAGAGCCCTCCCCAGAGACACTGATCTCATTGCTTCCTTCCTCCTAGAGGACCAGAAACCATTACCCAGCCCTCTCCTCCCAGAAGTCTCTCCTCTCCTCATCTTATAAACATACTTTTGTCTCTTGCACCCCAGAAACCACCCCCTGTCACTGACACCCCCCCCCATTTTTTCTTTCAACTCAGGTTCCATTTCTTCCCCTCTAGTCTACAGGTCAACTTGCTGTGAAAAAGCTTCTGTCCTCACACAGTCAAATGATGTTCTCAAGTCACTTGCATTGCCTTCATTGTGAAATCCAGTCGACACGTCTTTATTGTATTTGGCCTCTTGGTAGCACTGGGCCCTCTCCTTGGTCCTTGGACCTCTCCTGCCTGGCTGGAATCCTTTCTCCCGTTTCCAGCGCACCTGCTCGGCTCACGGGCCTTCTGCCCCCTGCACCACTCCTCCACGGTGCCTTTTTTCTCATATCCCTTCACCTTACAATCAATCAGATGTTTATCTTCAGGCCTCTGTCCATCCAGGCTACAAAATTTACCTGGGAAAAACGAATCAGTTCCTATTCTAATTACCACTTCTTTGTGGTAACTACTGCATTTAAATCTTCAGCTCTAAATTCTCCACTGAACTGTAGACTTTGTATCCTTGCTGTCTCCTGGACACCTTCTCCTCCTACATGTTACTAAGCCTTCTAAAGTCCATCACATCACTTCTGGGCTCTTTTTATTGGGGTGACTGTGTTAATATGTAGGAAGGAAGGGGAACTGAGTAGCCAGAAAGGCAGATTCTGTTTCATTTATATGCTGTTTATTCCAGTTTCTCCTCTTTCTCGGTACATGGTAGACTAGCACTTCCTTGCTCCTTTGAAATTGGGCATGTCATGTGACTTATTTTAGCCAGTGAAACATGTGTCACTTCTGGGCAGAAACCTCTGAAAACTGGCACACAAATAATTGTAATCCCTTCCTCTTGTTATGAGCACTGTCAACATTTTGGGAGTAAGAGGCTCTATCAGCTTGCATCCTTGAGAGAAGATGATGTGGAGTAGATCTACCAACAACCAAAACTGGACACACAGCCTGAGTAACACATAGGAAAAGACCTTTGCTCTTTTGGAGGATTTTGGAGTTATTTACTGCTGTATATCTAGGGTGACCAGACGTCCTGCTTTTGAATAATTTGTCCCGCATCCCGCAGCATTTTAAAAAAGTCCCGATTTTTGGAAAGAATGCACAAATGGGCGGGAGAACAGGAAGGGAATATATGGTTTTAGGCTGCCATGTGGCTATTTTGCCAGAATATGATTTTTATATTATTTTTATTAATTTTATAAACTGTAATAATAACAAATAATTGTTGAGAAATGATTATCGAGAACTGCTTATCAAAGTTTGCATTGTTGTCAGGCCCTGCCCCATCCCCTGCCCCGCCCCGCCCCCCCATGTTGTCCCGCTTTACAAATTTTATTTTTTTTCTTTTTATTTATTTATTTATTTATTTATATTGAATGGTAACTATGTACATTAATGCACTTCTGGGGTACAGTGTGGGGTTTTCACATGCAATCTGAAATACTTCCATCAAACTGGTCAACACAGCCTTCATGTCATTTTCTCAGTTATTGTTTTAAAACGTTCACATTCTACTCTTAGAAAGATTCACTTGTACCCCTGTAAGAAAGACCTCAGAAGTGATCCTTCTAATCCCCCTCCCTCCACCCATTCCCCCCTCCCTTCTCTCTCCCCCTCCCCATATTCTTAGGCTATTTGGTTATAGCTTTCATATAAAAGGTATAAATTAGTTTCATAATAGGGGTGTGTACATTGGATACTTTTTCCTCCATTCTTGTGATACTTTGCTCAGAAGAACATTCTCCAGCTCCATCCACGTGAACATGAAGGACGTAAAGTCTCCATCCTTCTTAATGGCTGCATAGTATTCCATGGTGTACGTATACCACAGTTTGTTGATCCATTCATGGATCGATGGGCACTTGGGCTTCTTCCATGACCTGGCAATTATGAATTAGGCTGCAATAAACGCTTTACAAATTTTAAAATCTGGTCACCCTATGTATATCCCAGCCCATCCTGACCAATTCAGCATCTCAAACCAAATTCATTATTTTTTTCCTGTATGCCATTAATGAAATAAAACAGCATAAAAGTGTCTCATCTGCTCTTCATCCTATACTTCCTGGATACCAACTGCTCACTCAACCAGACTAGAAACCTGGGGGCACATCTGGACCCCACTTTAATGTCAACCCGCATTTTACCATTTAGGTAGTTTTAGAAATTCTATTTCCTAAGTATCCTTCAAATCAATCCTTTCATCTCCATTCTTAGTTCTTAGTGTATCTATTCTTAGCTCTTGTGTAGACTATTATGGTGACTTTGTGTGCATGTGAGACAGAGTCTCACTCTGTTGCTGCCAGGAGAATGCTGTGGACTCAGCCTAGCTCACAGCAACCTCAAGGGCCAAAGTAATGCTCCTGCCTCACCTCCCAGGTAGCTGGGACTATAGGAGCCCACTACCAGGCCCTGTTAATTTTTCTATTTTTAACAGAGATGTGGTCTTGGTCTTGCTCAGGCTGGTCTCCAGCTCCTGAGCTCAAGGGATTCTCCCACCACCACCTCCCAGAGTGTGGGGATTACAAGTGGGAGCCCCTGGGACCGCCTTCACTCAAAGTTTTTCTTTACAACTTTTAAGAGAAAGCTGAGCTCCATTACGTTAAACATTTTGGAAAAAAGTTGTAAGATCTGCTTATCATCTCACCTTTGAAGCGTAACACTTTTCATCAAGTGTAGTGGGTCTCAGGTAAGTCGGGGGTGACTCAAAGGAGAGACACAGGGGCAGGGAGACTGATCTACTTGCCTCCTTTTGTGTTTTCAAGATGTCATTATTATTTCGTACACATCCCTGAAATAGCTGTGTGATTATCACTGAGTGGTTAAGGACCAAGGCACCAAAGAGGTGTATGACAGGTTGGGGGCGCAAAGACGTGAGGATACAGGGCTGCGCGCCCCTCTCAGGTGACCAGGCCCTGGCCGTCTGGGCCAGCAGTCTTTGTAATTCACCTCTCCGTGCCAACATTGTCTATTACCTTCAAAAAATAGGCAGATGTTTGACTACTTTATCAGAGCTGTAAACCCGACATTCTTTTCTTGAAGAAGGCATTCATTCGTCCTTTTTTTTTTTTTTTTTTTTTTTGTGGTTCCAGAAGGAGGAATTAAGGCCATCCCTCCTGGGCTTCAGACCTCCTCCCAGCTCTGAGGACACAGGGGGTACAGTCGGCGGCATTTGCCAAGACCCAAGCTGTGAGACTCTGCGAGTCAAGCCAGCACCGAACCACTTGGCCCTTTTGCAAAAATACACAAAATGTGTGGAATCACTTAATTTTATTCCCTTCTCGCCTTTTCACGTGGAGATTGGCTGCTCGGGCGAATGTTGTTTTTCGCCACAGCCATGTGTCCAGGGGCGATTAACACTCGCTTGACAAAAGCCCTTCCTGGGCCGTTTGGGGACCGCACGCGCCCGCCCTGGGCCGGCGGGGAGGGAGAAGGCCGCGCCGACCGCATAAAGTCCGCGGGCCGAGGCCGGAGCCAGCACTGCCGGCCATGCAGAGCGCGGAGCGCGGGGCGGGCCCGGGGTAGGCTCCGTCCGTCCCCCCGCGTCCCCCTCCGTGTCCCCCGTGCGCTCCCAGCCCCGCGTCACTCCGCGTCCCCCGTGCGCTCCCAACCCCGCGTCTCCGCCGCGTCCCCCGTGCGCTCCCGGCCCGGGTTCCCCTGCACCTGCCCTCTGCCCCCGGCCTCCCCGCGTAGCCTGCGTCCCCGCTCCTCCCCTGTCTTCCCCGTGGCTCCCGCCCCCTCCTTGGTGGCTGGGTGGACCCCCCGTCCGGCTCACGTCCCTTCCGCGCGCCCTGTGCCCTCCCGCAGGCCCGCAGGCTTCTGGAGACCCTGGGTGGACACCCGCGGCGGGACGGAGGCGGTGAGTGAGCCTGGGGGGCCCAGGGACAGCCAACGTCCTGCCCCCGACTCGGCCCGCCCACTCGCGGTCCGTCCGGTACCGACGCGGCAGGAGTGTCCCCCGTGGCGACTGGGCCGCTCGAGTCGGGACGCGAGCAAGGCCCTGGGGTCGCGTTGGCCGCGGGCGCGCAGAGCTCTGGGACCTGCGCGGCTCCACCTTCCAGAAGGCGGGTGGTGACTGGGCTCGGCTCCTTTCTCCCTAGATGCCCGATGGCCCTGACGTGACCGAAGGCTCGGGAAAGCTCGCCCAGGCTGGACACCCCGTCAGGTGAGTGCTACGTTCCCCCCAACCCTCACCCCCCCAAGTTCAGGGCCCCAGGGCACCGCAGGGCCGGATCGGCAGGTCCTGCGGGTGCTCTGTCTGCAAAAATCTTCAAGGTGACTTTACCTTTCCACTCTCAGGCCCGCTCCTCCTCGATTTGAGAAACGTAGGAGCTCAGGCTTTGACGGGAGAGAGCTGCATATTCCCTGGCACGTCCTCAGTAAACGCTGAAGGCGCGCCGGGAGGAGGGAGCGCGGGGCACAGTGAAAACCGTAGCTTGTTGCGCCTGCAAAACAGTTTTTTTCTTAAAATCCAAGGGTCCAAATGAGATGGACTTCAGATGGGGCGGAGTGTGTACGTTGTTAGTCCTTTGCAAAATAGGAGGAAGGGAGGGTTTAACAGCCGCAGTTTTACAGCAAAGCAAGCTTGATATGTAAGAGAAAAATGGAAATATGATGAAAATCCTAAGGTGAGGATAATCATAGACGGGGTCAAAAGTTCTTTAACGTTACAGCGAGGGGCTAATTTACCGTTCCAGCCACAGGAAGTCAGCTTTTTGTAAAATTCTTTGTAGCTTTCATTCAGGTGGCAGGTTAATAATTCTGCGTTTTTCCTGCTTCCGGGAGCGGTTAAATGAAGATATGTGGGGTTCGTCGAGCGTGTAGTGTTTCTAAATGGCACACTCGTGCTCGTGAACCTCTCCCAATACTATCACCGGTGGGGGATGCCGGCCAACAACCACAGCGCCAGCGCGGGGCAGGACCTTGGTTGGTCAGTTTCACGGTATGGACGTAACGTGAAGTGCCTACGGTCAGGGGTAGAGGGAAGGGTCAGGGGAGCGTGTATCACAGGTTGTGGTTACCTGGCTGAGTCTTGAAGTTAGCTGGATGGATGGGAGGTGGAGGGGGGAGAAACTAGGAAGGGAAAGAGGTGCAGGATGATCGTGAACAGCGTGGGAGCTCCAAGGAGCTAGAGCTCAGGTGTGTGAAGCTGTGGTCCTGCCGGGAGGATTGTGTACACCTCGAGATGGATCTTGATCCAGTACGTGGTGTGGGGAACCCATGGGCTTTTTTTCTGTAGGTGGTATTGAGGGTTCCTCAAAGGATTTTAACCACAAGAGTGCTGGGATCAGATTTTTGTTTTAGAAAAATCACTAAGGAAATGTTATGTAGACTTAGAATAATCCTAAAAGCGAAGCTGGAAGCTTTGTAGTTGTCAGGTTAAGAAATGCGAAGAGTCGTTCTAAGACGTTGGAAGTGGGTACAGGACTGGGTGAATTTGGGGAATAACTTAGGTGACGAGATAGAGTAGGCTTTCTAATGCATTGGATATGGCAGAGGAAGAAGACGTGACCGGCCAGAATGGCTCCGGTGTCTGTGTCTGGTGACCAGTGAATGCTGTACAAACAGAATTGACCTAGGGCTTAAAACAGATTTGTGGAGCAAAATGATGAGACCAGTTTCCCATTTCTCATATTTAATATGCCTACAGTGCATTCCAATAGAAATATCCAGTAGAGATTTTCATGCAAGACCTTAAGTGGAATACAGACTTGGGAGCCTGTGGAAAGCAGGGTTGGGGCGATCACAACAGTGGGTCCGGTCATCATTGGGGTCGGGTGGTGTGGAGGGGAAAGCTGAACGTTTCAGTGAAGCCCTGGGTGAAGGCCAGCATCTAACCAGAGCACAAAGAAAGGGAAGTCTGCAAGGGAGCCTGAGAAGAATCAGAACAGGGGTAATTCAGGAGAGCATGGAGTCCCACTCAGTGGTCCACACTGAGAAATTGGGACAGACTGATGATGACTTGTTTTCTCTGTGCATTCTTTGGGTTTGGTAGTTCCAATTACACATTAGAAAATAAATTCTTTCCTATATAAGCAGTTCCTTTCTTTTCTAGACTGCTGTACCAGTTTAGTTGTGCTTCTCTTAGGTTTATTTTATTTTTATTAATTTCTATCTTGATTTTCTATTTTGTGTTTTCTTTTTAGTCAATTTCTTGAGGATAGGAATTATGATTTATTCATCTTTGAATTATGAATTATGTTGGCATTATTGACTGAATAATTGATACTAGTTTAAACATCAAAATTATACAGCATTTTTCTGATTTTTCTGGAAACTTATAAGCTACATTTCCTATCTTTCTGTCTTTTAAGAAGGAACGTGCTGAGCATAATGCACCCTTTCTTTGGTCAGAACCTCTCTGTTATACAGATACATTAAAATGACTGCACTGTAGCTGGCGATTCAACCTCTTCTAGCTTTGTTTATCTTGGGTGAAAAATAATAGAAGACTAGATGCCTGGATTAATAATTGTCAGATTTTTAAAATTCCAAGGTAATAATCTTTACATGCAAATTATTTGTGTAAAACCTGTATCATTTCTTGATATCTCATGTGGTTTTCTTAAATTTAGTTGAATAGAGGTAGATAAGGGAGATGAGATCAAAGTCTGGGTCAGAAGTCTTTTTATGCCTCAGGGTGTGAATGCATAGACAATTTTTTTTTGTAATATTCTAAACTTACAATGGCTACATCTATAACTAATAGTTAACCTGTGAGTTTTAAGCAAGATAGTAGGTGGCTTTTACCATTGTGTAAAGTGCATAATATTTTGTCATTTCCATAATGTTGGCCATCATCACAAATTTTAATAAGTGGTAAAATTCATTTTTCCAAAGGATTCTGGAAACTGGAAGACAAATCTTCTGCATATTGTGAGAATAAATATATCCATAATGCTAAAGTAAGATAAACATTGATCTTATGCTTACACAGGATTTAGTGTGAACTTTTTTGATCCAATTTAAAGCCTGGATAAGGATTTAAAATAATCAACCTGTTAATGATACTTTGGCAAGTAGACTTCATGAAAGCTGCAATGCTTGGATTTTTAAGTTCTGTATGTCAAGGCTGTATCTAAATGAATAAACTGACTGGTAAACATAAGGAGCTCTTGAAATTGGACCATTTCTTGAGTGTAAGGATTCTGAATGTAAACAAACAAACCCCATGTTATGTTGTCTGCTTCTTTCAGACTATTTTGGCCAAAATCAAAGTGTTACGATTACTTATATCAGGAAGCAGAAGCTCTTCTGAAAAATTTTCCAATTCAAGCTACAATTTCATTTTATGAAGACTCTGGTAGTGAAGATGAAATTGAGGAGCTGACCTGTGAAAATTAATCTGATTAATAACTTTTGAAGACATTCAAAGCTTGTAGAATTTAAGTTTAGTGTATAAATGTATCATAATCCTTTTAATTTATTTGTACATAAATTATTAATAAAATGAAATATTTTGTAATTAATATAGTAGTTTGGCCTTTTTTTTTAATCCCTACACTAGAACTAAACATTAGAATTTAAAGTAGGTGCCATTTACAAATGTCTGTTATGTTATAAATATTTGGAACTTAACAAAGGATGAGTTTGTTCTTTTCATTAAATTACAAATTTATCTGTAGTTATAATTTTGCAAAGAAATAATTAAATATTATTTTATAATAAATATTATTTCTTTGTAATATTTAAATTTTAAAATATTTTATCTTTATCACTGGATCTTGTAACATCTTCTATTTCTTTCTCATCTCAATTGGATGTTGTAGTTATAAATTAATATTCTTATTAGATAATGAAGAAAATCACCTTAGGTTACCAATCACCCATTTATGCTTATGGATTTGCTACCAGATGATGAAAAACCCAATAAATCACTATCTATAATTGAGAAAGGGACTCAGTTTTAGAGGTCTCAAATATTAGAAGTTTTAAATAAATGAGTAAAGTAACTCTCACTTTAATATTCCTCTGCTGTCCTTAAATCCAGTAGTAAAATAGCATAGATATTTAATCCTTAATGTACTACATTACGGGTCCCTAAAATGAAAACAAAATATTTAAGTAAAACAATATGTTTATCGTTTACATACATTTTTAAAAAGTGGACTTAAAGAGCAGAATTCGATAGTATTTTCCATTTCTGTACAAAAGGGAGCTAAGAAATTTTGCAGATATGGAATATATTTCAACATTACTCATTTTCCTTTGGTCTTATTTTCTACTCTACATATTCTCATGTAAAATTTTTTCATAAGCAGTGAAATTAATTTTCAATGATTGGTTTTTCTCATGTAAATGCAGAATAATATATTATCACTTAATGGTAGAAAACAGAACAGTTTGCAATGCCAAGATCATATAGTAAACTATGATCAAACATTTCTTTTAGCTCAAATACAATCATCTCACAATAAGCATTTTAATTGCAAATAAAAATATTGCTACATTATTCTAGAATGATAATGGGTAAAGGTGAAGGTCAGAGGTGGTTAGCTGGAAATGCCTCCTACTTGAATGACTACACATATTCACACACTTTTTCTAACATAAAAGGTACTAAAGCCAACTTTGCTTCATAGGCACTTTAAGAACCAGGTAATTAAGTAGAGAAAGTTAAAACCATGCCAATGTGTTGAGTTAGGAAAAGTGAGAAATTAAAGGCCATTGAGGGGATTATTTAGAATTATGTTCTTTTCTCCTGAAAACTTTCCCATTCTCCAAGGGACATGTGAAGAAATTCCAGCTGATTACCAGTCTGAACCTTGAACATTGTGGGCTGGTATTTACTTGCATGGTGTCTGTCCTTACCTGATTAACATGTTGAAATAGTGCAGAGAGCCAACACCATTTGAGGGCCTACTATTAACCAGACACTGCACTGTGCATTTTACATACTGCCTTTTATGTAGTATAAAACCTAAGCTCACTGTGCAGATAGGGAGAATGAGACTTGAGATACCAAAGCCACAAGCTCCATCCCTAAACGGAACCTTTTAGTCAGTTGTCAGTAATCAGCCAGGGGATTAAAGGCGACTATTGGCCTCTGATACTCTCGCTCTCAACCGCGAGCAGCTGTACGGCCTGGGCTTTGCTGGAGAGCGTTTCTGAGAAGCTAGAATACTTTCACTATGTTGCTTTATTCCATACGTCCAGTAGTGTAATGGCGCTGCTTAGCAAGGGGCAGACGCTAGCGTTCTTGGTTAACAGACTGCAGAAACGTATTCTCGGCCGCGTTCAGCACCAGGGCTCAGTGAACAGCTTCGCTTTTGATCCTGCAGTCCGCCGGGTGCTGAAGCGCGGCCCACTGAGCACGCGCATCTCCCTCGTCCCGCCCCCGCCGGCGCGCGCAGCGTCCTATTGGCTCCGCCCCCGCGGCGCGTTGCGTCAGGGTGCACCTCCCCCGCGGCGACCCCGGAAGTGGGTCGGGGCTCGGCCTCTGCCGGCCCCGGAGCGGGAGTGGCAGGTGCTGGCGGGAGAGGGGTCCGGGGCGACCCCGGGCAGGGCCTGCCGGGGGGTTCAGGATGCTGAACGCCCCGTCCCAGTCCTTCCCGACCCCCGGCTCGCAGCAGCGCGTCGCCTCCGGGGGCCGCAGCAAGGTAAGCGGAGTCCCTCCGGGCTCGCCGCGCCCGCCCCGTCCGCTCTCTGGCCGTCCCGTCCCCTCTCTGGCCGTCTGGTCGTCCTGCCCTCGCGGGCCGCCTCTTCCTAACCCCGCGCTGACTCGTCCGCGAGCTCGGCGACCCTCCCCGCTCTCTCTGACTCGCTCGATTCCCGCCTCTGTACCCTGCTCTGCCGGTCTGTCAGCGTCTCCTCCAGGTCGGTCCCGCGAATTAAACTCCGGTCCGTGTGACCGGCCTTGCCTCGCGCTTGTCGCCTGACCTCGGTGTCAGCGCACCCTGCACCCATCCTCGCGGCCTTTGTTCTTCGCTGTCCCGAGGTGCTGACGGGGGCTTCCTCGCAGGAAAGGCTCGGCAGCGGCGATGGTGACCACGGTGGGAGGGTAGGGACTTCGGAGCCAGGGAGCCCGAGAAGGTCTGAGTGTTTCATCACCGCCTTTCCTGCTAGTTTCCCCTGCTGACTTGGAAGCTAATGTAAAACTCCTTTTGACTTATTGTTGAGCATAGTTACTGTTAGCAACAGGTGGAATGCTGTAAAGAATGCATGCTATGTTTGCGAAATTTAATAACAAGTCGTGTCTTGTGTTCATTGCAGCATGAGTGTTGCTTGCTTCCGTTACTAGCTAGTTCCTCATTCTGTGACCAAAACATCTTCTTGTTTTGTTTTGGAGACTTGCACCTACTTGGGCCACTCTTTCTTCATTTGGGACATTCACTAACTTTCTTATTTTTCTCTACTTAGACCTGGAGTTCCGATCCTAGATAAGAATATGGGTTCAGGAATCTGTAGCTTTCATTAGCTTTCCAGAGGTCTGTAACTTTGAATATGATAACAATGGCTGAGATTAAGTCCTTCTGAGAAGCATGTTAGGCTTTACATGGATTGACTCGTTTAATCATCACAGTGATCCTATGAAGTGGATGCTTTTATTAAATTCATTTCACAGAAAAGGAAACTGGTTAGGAGGTACGGCTTGCGATCATACAGGCTTCGTGCAGTGTGGTTCTGTTGTGAAATTTCATTTATTAATAGGTTTATCTTTCAGCCATCCAGTTGTGTGTCTTCTCTCTGCTGCTTGACCTGGTTCTTTAAGCTACATACCTTACTGAGTAGTGTAGCCTCTCCAGAGAGACTCTCTGAATTAGAATATGTCTTTCTGCCCTTCTCGGTTAACATGACCACCTGTGTTCTCAGCATCCATTTAAGGGTGAAAATAGAGGCAAAGACAAAAGTCACACAGGTGGTGCTGGCAAAGGTGAGTCTTTGAGTACAAAAAGACAACAAAATAAGGTTATTGTGCAATTCAAAGGAAGACTCAGACTTCATTCTTTTATATTTCCTGTTCCTTGTGGAACAAGATAATTTTGAACATGTTAGAAACTGAGCCAGGATTGGGTGAAGTGGGTAGAGGTGGAGAAAATGGAACCTGGTTGGGAGATGGTTTATTATATAGCAGGTCCTTGAATAAGGCTTTGTTCTAATGTTGATGAGGAGAAAAGTCAGTTGCCAACAGGGTCCACTGTTTGTGGTGTTTGCCCCTTCTCCCCACGCCTGTGTGGGTTTCCTCCGGGCACTTCAGTTTCTTCCCATGTCCCTAAGATATGCACATTAGGTTAGCTGGTGTGTCACAGTAACCCGAGTCTGAGTGAGAGTGTGTGTGCACTCTGTGATGGAAGGGCGTCCTGTTCAGGCTGGGTTCCTGCCTTGCGCTCTGAGCTAGGGGGATCGGCTCCAGCCACCCATGACCCTGAACTGGAATAATTGGATAAATAATTGTGTTGTTCTCATTAATCTTTAAGGTATGCATAGTTCACATTTATTTCAGTGCTTAACATTAGAAGCATTTTGGTCTTTATTTAGCATTTGGTGATGTTTTGGTGACCAGAAATGTGCTATAGGAATTTAATTCTTGTCCTAGCAGCTGGCTTGTGCTGCTTACTTAAAGACTCACTCTCCAAGAAGCTATGGACTGCATGGTGTGTGGGGTTATTCTCACTGTTCAGAAGCAGAGGCTAAAGTGAGAAAGAGCCAGGTTCTTTTCCCAAATCTCCCACTCATCTCTTTGAGTCTGTCTCTTCACCTGATAGCAGTACTCACTTTACAGTGTTGTCATAGGATTCAGTGAGATAATGTTTCTCTTAGCACACCTTGGAGGCTTGGCAAACTCAGTGCATGCTGCTTGCCCTGAGACAACCTTGCAGATTTGTGTGCACTGGTCTGTGATAGCTATTACTACTTCTACTAACACTTCTACCAGTACAGAGGATGTGGTCCCGGATTTCAAGGATTTCAGTGTCGTAGGCTACACACTCGGTTATAATGTCGTAAGTACTACAACAGAGTGTTATGGCCAGGAAGCAGTTGGGGTGAGAAGCCTTCCCCAGGCGATAGAGGGAGTTGGAGGGGAGACTGATCCAGGCGGAGGGAGCAGCCCTGAGATGGCTTGAATTCATTTTCCATTTGGCTAGAGCATATGAGGGAAGGCGCAGAAGTGACAGTGGGGGAGGGAGAGCCCTGAGGCACAACACCAGGAGGCATGGAGTCAGGATCACAGGGCAACTTGGGGAGCCACTGGAGGAGGGAGGCCATAGTTGCTTTGTGTTTCCAGAAGATGAGTTTTTCTGTGGTTCAGCCCTGATTCCGTTTCGGTTTGGGGGGGATCATTTTCTCACACTTCACTTCATTAGGACCAAGAGTCCTGGTTTTGGTGACGGTCAGAATGGGATATTGTAGATGGGTAGGATGGGTAAGATTGAATAGGAAACTGGGAACTTGGTTTCCTTGGGGGTAGATGGTGGATAAAATGAGCATGACTCAGGTGAGTGAGATGCATGAGTGTTTTTGAATATGCCTCTTCAACATTGAACATTCTTCTGGGACTGTGTCACAGACGAGTTAGAAAGTGTAGACAGTTCCATAGAAATGTCTTGAAAAATTTCCACTAGTTTGTCTTGAGTGGTTAAAATCCCAATAATACCTTTTATCTAAAAGCCTTGGAACCAAACAAAATAAAACCTTCACCTATTAAATTCTCTAGGCAAGGATTGGCATACTTTTTCTGCAAAGGGACAGAGTTTAAATATTTTAGACTGTCAACTCTTCGTAAGGTTTCAGGCTTTTTACCACCACTTATAGAAACAATTCTTAGCTCATGGGCTATATGTGGGTAATTATGAAAGTTTTCAGATACACATAAATCAGAAAACATAAACTATGCACAGATGGAAACAATTGAATTCCTCCCAGCAACACAATAAGCCGCAAGTTGAAACTTGCATGGGTGAATCAGAGAGGATGCTGTCGACTGTGTTTCTTGGAAGTCAAATGACCATAATAGTCTGTCTCAAAACTTTCATAGTGACCTACTGAACAATATCCCAATAAAGCATAACAACTATTTGCATAGCATTTATATTGTGTCAGGTATTACAAGTAATCTAGAGGTGATTTAAAGTATATGGGAGGATATACATAGGCTGTATGCAAATACCATGCCTTTTTATGTCAGGGGCTTGGGTGTCTATAGATCTTGGTGTTCTGAGGGGTGACTGCGATGACAGCATCGTGATAAAAATCTGTGCGACAGAGTTCTAAGCCCAACCTTGTAGCCCAAGTATTTTAAATATTATTCTATTTATAATTCAAATATAGCAATAACAATTTTAATAGCCTTCTAAAGCTGTAAGAGGATTTGCAGCATGATTAAATGTGAATTTTATTATCTTTTCAATGGGATTCAGAGTAATGAAGTAGCCTGAGGACAGAGCAGCACAGAGCAGCCAACTTGCAGAAGCCAAATCCCATTCTCCCTTCTTTCTTAGGTGCCTTTGAAACAGGGCAGAAGTCTTATGGATTGGATTCGACTGACCAAGAGTGGAAAGGACTTAACAGGACTGAAAGGCAGGTTAATAGAAGTAACTGAAGAGGAACTCAGAAAGCACAACAGGAAAGATGACTGTTGGATCTGCATAAGAGGTAGGTAGGTGGTTTTCACAAAATACTCTGAAAAATTTTGCCTGGGCCTCCCAGTCACAATGCTGCGTGACCCAGAGTCATGGTGTTTGGTGATGTGACTCATAATTAGGTAACAGAAATAGGCCTTGGATAATAAATTGGCTAATTCTGATGTTGATAGTACTTCTTCCTTTAGTAACTGCTGCATTCTGATAAGGAAGGAGAGAACTTCTGAAATGAAAAGATTTTTCTAGTGTCCTTTCTAGCATTGCCTTTGTTGGAATCAAGTGTTTGCCAGGCAATGTAGTGCTGTAGAATTACTCGGGAATACCCAGGCTATGTAGAGGAACTTTCTGCCACAGAGCATTGCGATAGAATTGTCAGGAAAAGTGTCTCTGATGAAGTTACCGTGGAAGTCCTGCGTTAAGGCCGCATGCTCGCTTCTCACCGTGGTTTCTTGTTAGGTGACGTGTGTCTCTTAGCAGTATTAGTTACCTGACTTTTTTGAGTTTATAGTAAATAAGCTTCAAGTAGAAATTAGTGTGTTGGAGGAGGTGAGCAGAAAGACAGGAGGGTGGCTGCTAAGGGAGGCCTCACGGTGGCCACTGACCCAGCCTGGAGAAGGGCGGCCATTAGAATGGCAGGTGTGAAGCTGAGACTAAGCCCCGAGTGGTGCCCTGAGCCATCTGCGTGTGACCAGATGTGTCTTGCTCTTACCACAGCTGTGATTTCTCATTGTGCATTGTGTGATTTTGGCTTGTTGTCAGTGATCCTGATTACATTATAACCTATACTGGGACAGGGACCCTGTCAATCTTTCTTACAACAATGTCCTTGATGCCTGGCCTGATTACATTATAACCTATACTGGGACAGGGACCCTGTCAATCTTTCTTACAACAATGTCCTTGATGCCTGGCACACGGAGGCCCTTGATACGTGTTTAAGTGGGTGGTAGTTGTCACGGTGGATTAGTGATATGGTCCACAGAAACCAGAGGTGGTGTGTTAGTTTCCTGTGGATGGTAATAAGGTACCACTGACCAGTGGTGAAACAATAGAAGTGGTTTCACGACTCTAAAGGCTACAAGCCTGGGATAAAGGTGCTAGGAGAGCTGTTTCCTTCTGAGGAAGAATCTTGCAGGCCTGCTGCCCAGTTTCTGTGGGTGTCCTGGGAGGCCCTTGGCTTGCGGAACATACACCAGTGTCTGCCGTCTGGTCCAGAGGTCCTGTTGCTGTGGACGTGTGTCATGTTGGGTCAGGGCCTCCCGCTCCGCTCTACTGTGACCTGATCTCATTGACATCTGCAACAACTCCCTGTCTGAGTAAGGTCACATCCTGAGCTGCTGGTGGGGAGGACTTAAACCTGTGAATTTTGCCTGGGGACATGATTCAACCCATAATAGACACAATTAGAATGTAAAGTTTTTAATGGCAGAGGATATGGCAACATGAGCGTGGGATGACACAGCTCGCTTCAGGACGGAACAGCTGCTCAGCTCCCCGGAGTTCTGCAGGGACAGAAATGTGGGCAGTACCAAGAACCTGGGATGAGGATTTTTGCCAGGTGTAAAAAGCTTCTTTTGCCTTTTTATAGGTTTGCCTTTTTGTGGAGACGGCTTTTCTTTTTGGTTGATTGGCTGGTTTGAAGACCCTCCTTTTCATCCCCTCATGCTGTCTGTCTTTTACTAGGTGCAAGGAACTGGTACAAAATGACCTCCCCACCAAACCTGAGTGTTTCCTGGGTGAAGTCGGGGTCAGTTTCCCACGGACATCTCTCTGCTGGCCCCGGCTGCAGGCAGGCCTGCGCTCTGCCTCTGCGGCAGGAAGCCACTTCTGTAGAAACATGATTACAGGAACCATCATGTCCTAGTGAAGTTAGGGCACATGAAGTGAGAAATAAATGAGGCATTTTTAGAATACAGTCGTGTGTTATTATTCTTACATACATTGATGTATTGGTGGGGATAAGGGATTGGGTCATTGTGTCACTGTGTTTGAAAAGGAGCAGGTTGAGTGTCCCTTATTGAAATACTCGGGATCAGAAGTGCTTGGCTTTCAGACTTTTTCAGATCTTGTAATACGTCTTTAATGGGTAACCGTCCCAAATCTGAAAATCCAGAATCCACAATGTCTCAGTGAGTGTTCTTTGTGTCACATTGGTGCTCAAGAGGTTCTGACTTTGGATCGTTTTTTGATAAATGGTTGCTAGGCAGCAGGCTGAGTGATGTCAGATGGAAGGGAGGGAGTTGGAGCCCAGCAGTCTGGGGCACTGTTGTTAGGGACACAAGCTGGGGAAGGAGCACTGCATTTCAGCCCCTTCCTTTAGGAGGCACAGCCTGGAGGGGAGAGCCCAGACCTCGGTGCAGACACAGAGGAGCGGGGGGCGCTCTGGAGCTCAGGTCACCGGGGAGAGTAAGGACAAAGGCTGGATTGTGGGGGAGGTGGAGAGCCAGACTGTTCCCCTGGAAGGCAGTGTGGGTGTGGAAGGGATTGGAGTGCGGGAAGAGTGTGATCACAGTGTGCCTGGGAAGGTGCAGGAAACTGAGACGGGGTGAGGTTCACATGCATTCAGGTGGGAATGGGTGAGCCAGGTGTTGGCAGAGGAAGTGGGAAGTAGGATGCGTGTGAGGAAAACAGATTACCGGTAACTCCTAACACGATCCCAAATGAGACTTAAATAAAATACATGATGAGGATAGGAGTAGCTGGGTGCTGCCTGCGCAGCTGGTCATGTACCTAAGGATGAGGGTAGGAGCAGCTGGGCGCTGCCTGCGCAGCTGGTCACGTACCTAAGGATGAGGGTAG